TCTCTCTCTCTCTCTCTCTCTCTCTCTCTCTCTCTCTCTCTCTCTCTCTCTCTCTCTCTTTGTTGCCCAGCTCCTTAGTCTTCAGAACTTGTGACCTCAAACCCACCATTCTTGGAGCTTGCCCTTGTGAAGTGCCTTAGGAGTTCCTTTAATATAGTAAGTAGATTCAAGATCCATGTTTCATGCTTTGTTTGAAAACATGTTCAATTTAATTGTTAAAGTATGTATTTGGAGAACCATGTTCTGAATTTTGGTTAATCATGCACCCCATTTTTCTAGAGTCATGACTCTCTTTTAAGTAATTGTTTGAGAATTGAGAATACCTCTGTTAACTATGAAATTTTGTGGGGAATTACCGCTTTGAGGTTATTTTCAGAGGGAAAAGACCACATATCAATATCTCTTGTGATTGGAAAGTTATGAGACTTTTGTTATAACCTGTCAAATCTGTGACATGAAATTCTAGAACTATTACATGTTTTTGTAATGAGCTATTTACTAACTAAATCATGTACAAATGAGATCAAACTACTTTTAATGAAATATGTATGAGTTAACTTCAAAAATAGTTTGAAATCAGGCTAAAATTCTCTATGCTATGGAAATTATGCTCATTTTTCTATGAAGGTGTCATTGTTGTGATTGTAGGGAATTTTCAGAACTGTTACATTTTTTGTAATGAACTGTTTACTAACCAAATCTCATCCAAATGTGATCAAACCATTTTTTAATGAAATATGGGTGAGTCTACTTCAAAAATACTCATGGAATTAGACTGAAATTCTCTATTGTTTGAAAATTATGCTCCTATTTCTATGAAGGTGTCACTATTGTGATTGCAGGGAATTTCCAGAACTATTATATGTTTTTGTAATGAACTGTTTACTGACCAACTTATATCCAAATGAGGTTAAACCACTTTTGAATGAAAGATGAGTGAGTCTATTTTAAAATCGGATTTGGAATCATACTCAAATTCTCTGTGGTCTGGAAACTATGCTAAAAAAGATGGGCAGTACTCACTTTTCAAACCAACAAAATAATTCAAAAATGTTATAAATGAGCTTGATGATTTGTATTTCGCTATGGGTATATGTGCTTGCATTAAAGTATGCTCGGTGGTGTAAGAGTGCCCGATAATGAGACGGGCTTTGTTATGATATAAAAGTATGTTGTAAGATATACCTTGTTATGACATATGTATACGAATATGATGCATGTTCTATAGTGATGTGTGTGCATGATTTTGAGACAAGGTAAGTGATATGTGATCTCTTGACATGCCTTGAGCATATTGCATGATAAGAATCTGCTATGATAAGTGGCACTACACACGGGTTACATGTTGGTAGTGTAATGTGATCGCTTTGATGTGAATGTGATAAGTGGCACTACGCACGGTTTACCTGTTGGTAGTGTAATCTGATCTGATAAGAAAGTTGTGCCGGCAGTTGAGATCTTTCCATGACCCCGATGATAAGAAGGGAGTCATGATGTGAGTCACATGGGAGGGTCATGCTCCCACTATGTGTGTATGACACTATGCAATGGAGCATCCATTGATAATGTAACACCCTCTAGTTAGAGAACCATTGAGGTTCATGTCATGCATGGCCTTCGCCTATCAAAAGCCCCAAAGCATGCTGGGGACTGTGTGTATGTATGTATGTGAAGGCATTACTAAATGGGTCCTCCATTTATCAGTGTTTTCCCTCTTAAAAGATGGTAGAAGCCCTAAGCAATGAGACTGACTTGGCCTGATGAATATGGCTTCCACCTCGGGAGTAAAGAATTAGGGAGTGAGTTGGTTAAGCTTGTCAAGCTATAGTTATGATAATCTATTATGATGCTCATGATGGAGAGATTTGATAAATTGCTGATGTATATGATATCTGCATTGAAACTGATCATTCCTTTAAAACAAAAAAAAGAGAATCACTCACGACTCATTGCTAGATAAAATTGTGACACATGGCATCTGGATCTACTTACTGGGCTTTATAGCTCATTCCTTTAACTTCTATCCTTGTAGATTGATACCAGCAGGTCGAGGACAAGTGGCACAGGGACCGTGACTGGTGGTTGGAGCCACTCTATTTTGCTGAAGTTTATGTCTATTATATGTTTCAAAATGACAGCTTGGCCATAGTTTTTGTTTAATTCTGTAAGTTATGTAATGATTTGGGCTTTGATGCCCGAGACTCTTTTGTAATACTTTGAAATGTTATGTACATGTGTATTTACAGTTTGGGGACGTAGTTGTCTAGCTTTTGGTGAATGTGTGTGATATGAAAGTTTTGTTTTCTTTCATAGTTTGTTTTGATTACCGTTTTTGTAAGGCGTTGAGCGCACTCCCACCTGAGTGGCATTCGCTACCCTGAATCACAGTCCCACACTCTGTGGCTCTCCAGCAAGTACGACAACCGTCAAGGGGTGGGGTCATGATAAGCAGCTTCGCAACTTGTCCTCTACAAAGAGAAAGGCATAGACATTAACTTTTTCAAACAAAAAAAGTGAGATCTTTCATATGAAATATCGTAGTTAAATTTACATTTTACGAACTGACATAGCAGTTTTACAAAGAGGAAAGCTAAGATTACAAAGTCACTTAACCGAGTCTACAGAGCCTAAGGGCTAACCTTTGGCATTGAACTAGTACTAGAAGTGAAGGAAGTGAGCTTCGACGAGCTTCCCCAGACAACTATACGATTTAAAATTCGGAAAATTACCCCCACCCCCCTCTCCGAAATTTTCATCCCTATTAGCTTATTGGGATCACCAAAATCCCTTGTACCCCCTCAAGTTTAAAACATTGCGAACATTAGCTCCCAAATTATGTTTTTCTTTGTTCTTTTTACGAATTTGATCACAAAATACCAAACCCATACATTAGTCAAATGTATTTTTTTTTTTATGGCGATGATATACAAATTTTATTGATGATGATGATACTAATTATAATGATTATAGTTAATAATAATTATAATAATAACAACAACAATATATTAATTGTTAAATACTTCATCTTTTAGAGCTATTTTAGAAATTTTTTAATTAATGAATAAATAAATAATAATAATCCATTAACAATAGTAATAAAAATATTGATTAATCATTTTCCAAGTTCAAAGATATTGATGCAATTGTACAATAGGTCATAATATTAAAAAAATTCATTTTATTTTAATGTCTAAATTTATAGAGTGGGGGGTAAGATTGGTTTTCAGCAATCGAAGATAAAGGTAAGGAAGTTGACTAATGGAAGGGTTTGGCATTTTGTAAAATAAAAATATCAAATTTGTAAAAAGAACAAAGAAAAGCATAATTAGGAGGCTAATGGTCCCAAAATTTTAAACTTGAGGCAGTTTAAAGGATGTTGGTGAACCCAGGGGCCAATAGGGATGGAAATTTCGGGAAGGGGGTATAGATCATTTTCCCTTTAAAATTTATCTCTAAAGGTATCTTTTTTAATTTATCTATCTAGAAGTGTCTCATTTATTTTCATTCATATTTAATCTATCATCCTAGCTGCTCGAAAATGTCAGCTTCACATGCTTTCTATTGATTTAGCATAAAGATTTTCTACTTGAAAATGTCAGCTTCTTTATTTTTAAATACTATTGAAGCGGTGTTGACACCTCGATCTCGATTGAAGAAACCACGCTCAACCAAAATGCCCTGAACAAGTCACCTCGATACTTGAACCACTCACACCCACCTTAACCCATTGGTAAACTAGCCTCTACAAACCCCTAGAGCACTTGAGCAGAGCTAAAGGTACTTGAAAAGAGAGATAAGTCAGAACATGCATTACGACAGTCAAACTGAAGAACATTCCGGAAAAATAGAGTCTCCCTGCCACTCCCAATGGCTTTAGGGCCACTGCCGATGGTGACACAGATGTGAACCCCAGAACAACAGTGCCCCAAAAAAGAGAGAAAGGCCCATCGTTGTTCACAATAGTGCCGATATCCCTTAGACTGCCAAAGTAAATCCAAAGTAAGCTCCACCAAAGTAAATCCGAATGAAACCTGAATCCTCACTCAAGATTAAACCCGAACTTTTAATCCCATAACTATATTTTATTTCGAAGGCAACCTGGATAATCAAACCTTCTAGACCCCCTTCCGTTTATATTTATTTGCTTTGTCTGAACCCCGAGGACTGATATCAACTATGCAACTACTTGCTCAGAATTGAAGCCGACTCTGGGTGCTCTCCTGGGGTCCATCCTAAGGTTCCTCGTCTCTCTCTTTAATTTTAAACCATGTCATCCATGTGTTTTCTTCTTTTTTTTAGTAATTGTTGTTTTGCATAATACAATGAATCACAATGCTACAAATAATACAAAAGAAGAAGAAAAAAAAACCCCTTAGGTTACAACATTAATTGAATCAGTAATATATTTATGGGAAATTATTAGAAATATATTTTAATTTTCGCCTAATAAAAAAAAACCTCAAAAACATTTGGTAAAGAAAACTGCTTTCTTTATTTTTCATTAATGAGTATTTAAGGTTTTCACCAAACTCTTTCTCTCCCACTCTTCTCTTTTATTAATATTCTCTATTAAAGCTCTCATTCTCTCATCTTCTCTCTTTTATTTCAATTATCAGCGTTAATGAGGTTCAATTTATTTTATTTATTTATTATTTATTTTTTTAAGCATATCTAGACTGTGACAAAACCAAGGTGATCACTAGTCCATCCCAATTAAGGTCAAGGCTACTCGATCTACCCCACATACATTATTTTTCATACGGGTAAGGCACATCGATAAAATTTAGTTAGAGATGTAGTTTCGGCATCGAAAACCTTATGATAATTTTAAAATTTCTTTTTATCTTTAGTTTAAAATTTAAATTTTAAAAATCTTATCAAAAAACACTTGAAAATTTTGAAAATAGACGATCCAGATAATTATTACGAGATGAAATACGTTTTAGAATTGAAATTGTTATTTATCTTCATATTCATTCAAGGTCGAAATAATCAATAGGAGAGCTATGCCAAGTAAAAGTCGATTGCGTTCGCTCATTATGCTCTCCCTCCTCCACGCTCCATGCTTTACGCTGTTTTCCTGCATTGACGGCTCTATTTATCTTCTCATTTCCCGCGTTCCTCTCCCATCTCTTCACCCTAATTTCTAGGGTTAGGGTTTCATTCTGTCTTCATTTTTTGATAAATTGTGGCGGGGAGATGGTTTCGTCCAGCCATCCTCAACTTTCATGGATGAGCGACGCTTCCAGGCACGACTTTGATGCCGCTTTAAAAGGAGGCGGCTCCTCCTCCTCTTCAGCTCAACCATCAACGATAAAAACCATACCTGATGATGATTCAAGAGACCTCCCTTCATCTCATTCTCTCTCTTCTTCTTCTTCCTCTTTCTCTGACGCAGATATGGGTTTCGTAGAGCGAGCATTTTCCGCTGCAGGAGCTGCAGTGCTTTCTGCTGTTCTTGTCAATCCTCTCGATGTTGCCAAGGTATAGTTGTTTAACTCCCTTCTCTTTGTGTATTTGGGGCTTCCAGTTTTTGTTGTCTCTCTTCCTCTCGCCCTCTATTGGCTTGTTATTTATTTGTTTATAAATTATTGGTATAATGTGCAGACAAGGCTGCAAGCACAGGCGGCAGGGGTTCCCTATGCATCTCCACATCATCGGGTAGGAGGGAGGATGGCATTTGCTGGTCCCAGTTCGGTATGTTGTGTGCTACCCTCTCTTTCATTTTGTGCTTGGAAATAGCAGTTTTAGGTATAAACATTGTATTTTGGTCCTTCATGGTTTTCTGATGTATACTGATAAGTATGGTTATTGGTGATTGCTATGTCTTAATCATTGAGAAATGGGGCTTGATTAGAAGTGTGTTTTTTGGGTTTGTCTGTCACGAGCAAATAGCATTTGGTCCTGCTTTTGATGCATTATGAATGCTATTCTTTATAAACTTTTCGTTAAATACCTCCGGACATCACGAGTCATTTAGTAAATGATTCCCGTTCAGTCTCAGTTATCCATGTATGGGGTGCAGCATCTCTGTTTAGTGATTGGGGAAAACATGATTGATTGAACATTGTTTAAAGATCAAAATTATGATATCTGGTAGTCGATTTAGACTCTGATCTATACTCTCTGGCTTTTAGAAGAAAAAAATAATTCTTGACGTGAACTTCCTCAAGAAAAGATAATAATGCTGTTTGATTTACATGTATTCTGAGCAAGACTTATGAAGAGAAATGGGCAATGGCACCCATATAATGTAGAATTCCATTTGAATGGAAGGCTGCACTAAGAAGCATACTTGCCACTGATGCATCTCTACCACATATTCAGAACTTGTCTACTAGAGGTGACAGAAGGAAGTTCTGGCCTCCCTAGGCCATTCTCATTATACTCCATGGGGTATAAACAACTGCTCTGAGATATCCTCATCCACATGGGTGTATTACACAAGTGATGGAAATGAAATGAAGGCGATGATGCACGTATGCCATATTGAATTGTTTCCTTCTTTTATTTTTTTGAGATTTTTTTTGCTTTGGCTGACTTATAACATCCTTCTGTACCTATTTCTCTGTACTCTTTCCTGGGCAATGTTTGCACTCTAGTGTTACGTGAACTCCTAAAAGCCCATTGAATAACATGGAATGAGTTCCTTTCTACCATTAAGGTGCTTGTGAGATCAGTCAGGGACATCTGAGGACCTGTTTTAAGGGCCTTCATCTCTGCCATGTCATTCATGGAACTTTCGAGTAATTTTACTGGTGGAAATTTTGGTGTCCCTGTCAAGCATGGAATAATAATCTGGAGCTTATTTTGATCTGTTCATTGGAATAGGAACATTCTTGGGTTGTGGGAACAATCCTTAGGCAGCCAATTCAATGGGATTCTTTGAGCTGAATTTATTAAGCAATATTGGTCTCTTAAAGAGGCATCCCCGGGGAAACTTGGTTGGTTGCACTACTTAGAAGTGGATTCAAAGGTAGGTGATGACTAAACTTGTCCATGAGGTTCTGTCTTTGCATTTTTATAACCTTTGCGAGTCTGGCTTGAAGTCCAGGAGGGAAACTGTTCATGATTATATCAATGTTTTTTGATAAATCACACTCTTTTGATAATAAATATCATTCAGTTTGATCTTGGTGCATTGATTGTGGTACCTTATATCTGTTTGTAAGTTTTTCACATCAACTATTAGTTGTATTTCACATCTTATAAGGCATATTTATAAGTTGATCGGCACTGCTTTATTTTGTTCAGATTTTTCCAGAAATGCGATGTTCACCATCCTGCCCTCGCGGGGGAATTCTTGGCACTGAACTATTTTGTCCTCCTGAATGTTTTCAGTACAAGGGGACCATGGATGTCTTTTACAAAATAATAAGACAGGTGAGCATATTATTTTCATCAACATAAATTCTTTCTTGTTAGTTTGTGGTTCAATTACAAACCTCTGGATGATTTAGTAAAGAGAAATCCTGCAGGAGGGTATCTCAAGACTCTGGAGAGGGACAAATGCTGGCTTAGCTCTTGCTGTGCCCACTGTAAGTTATTTTCTGCTTATTGTGTATTGTCTTGCTTCTTTTATGCATGAAAAATTCAGGCCTTTCCCCTAATTTGTGTAATTTACTATATTTTTGCCCTAGAACAAGTAGGCAACCTGTTGAATACATACCAAAAATAAATGCCAAGTCATATTCTTTTCACTAAATATAGTGTGCAGCTCATGTTTTGACTGATTGATGCCCTGGGAGGATGCATGCTCAATGATGCTGCATGGGTGCATGTAGCAATGTGCACATGGTTGTTGAAGGATCATGTGCAGTTTTGTTGCATGCATGTAAAGGCTCTTACTAGTCCATGACATCTGCTTAGGCCTTGTGGGGGTGTGTGTTTGATAATTCTACTGTGTTACATTGTCTGCAATAATTACATATGTTGTGTTAGTTTGTGCTGCCAATTGACTTCAGAGGGATCTTCTGCACCTAACCCAACACAGTAAGAAAGAAAAAAACATTCTAATACAGGGACTGGCATTCTTTTATTGTCACCTGGAAAAAGAAGAAAATAAGTACACTGTTAAGATAAAAACATGCCCATGAGATGCATCCCGAGACACCTGTTTTCCTTTCATTTCATTATGTATAGATCTAGTGCAATAGTTTGTCGAAAAAATTGTAGTGATCCAACACAAGAGTGGGCTTCATGGATGTGGACATGATATGGATGCCCTAATCCAAATTGAGATGTTAATTGTTGATACGAAGTGATTTATGTTCCTCTATTTTCCTCGACATACTTTTTAAATCAATGCTTATAAAAAATGAGAATGCATTATTATCATTTTCTCATGTCATAAGCCGTATCTTGAAGCCTAGAATTGGGCTTTGGATTGCTTACCTACTGTATCGATTCTAATTGGCTGATTTGGCAATCCTGATCATCTGAATCAGTGAAAGTTGGTAAAAGATGTTAATACAAAAGACATCGGACTATTCCAGGGGGGCCCAGGTCGCTTACCAACTAAATCCAAATTAAATTGCCGAGTCTCGATCCGTATCGATGATTTTTCAAACCTTGATCATAAGTACTATTAATAAATCATGTTTGTATCATAAAGAATCACTGTTGAAACTGGTTTTACTAGTATGAATAAAATACACACATACACTCTCTCTCTTCTCTTCTCCCCACTTTCTGTGTGTGCATGCAGGAAAATTTTAGTTGATTGCAAGCAGATGTTATCTTTGATAGGGACTTTGCCTTTACCTGATTGTCCATTGTATTGAAAGTTTTATGTCTGAACTCTGAAACAGGTTGGAATATACTTACCTTTTTACGATATATTCCGTAATTGGATAGAGGATTTCACGGAGAGGAATGCTCCTAAACTAACCCCATATGCTCCATTAGTTGCCGGGTCAATTGCACGTTCATTGGCTTGCATTGCTTGTTCTCCTATTGAACTTGCAAGGACACGAATGCAGGTATGTATTTTTCTATTTTGCTCATTTGAATGATTTGCATTTCTTGGGAATTAGAGAGTAGACGGAAATGTTACTTTGTGCTTGTAACTGTTGGTTGCTTTTGAATTTTTGATATAGCTTGTGTACTATTGTTGCTACTGAAAATCTTAGATATTCTGGATTAAGCTACATGGTGAGTAGACAGGACTGGATCATGGTTTTCTGTGGCATGATATTAGAGCTTCTGGGTTATGTGAAAAGTATTCCCTGAAGGGACATTGGATGTTGCAACCATGTAGATATTTTTTAAGTAAATATTTGGAATTTGTTAGCAAAACAAATGTCCGGAATCAAAGAACATAGATACTGCTACCATTGCTTTATTATTTCAATATGGGTGTAAAGATGATCACTTTGTAAATATGAGCCAGCATGGATGATCTATCAGGTAAATAGGAATAAGGTGGCTGGATGGTAGTAAGAGTGCTATGAAATTTGTGACGCACTTATGAATGATAGAATGGAAACATAGAATATTCATGTTTTGCTTAATTGTTTGGTCGGTAAACAGAAGTGGGATTTTGTGATTTTGTGTTGCCATTTTCTTGTTGAATGAGTTTTGACGGAGTAATAGAGATATTTGTGGTATATTAATGTGGCTTGATGATGTTCGCGTATCCTAGTTTCTTGATGATGTCTGCGTAGCATAGTTTCTTGGAGCTATTGGTCCAAGTGGACCTAAAGTCAGGCTAGACAGTTGGCAAAATTTTCAGCAGGGTGATACAAGTTGGATTATTTATCATATAATTAAGTCTTGCAAGGAGTGCTGTTTTGATGGAGTTCATTTCTACAATCTGAGGGGAATCAGAAAATATGGAAGGAATGGTTTTGGTAATAGATCTTGATGAGTTGAGGAGAAAACTAGAATAGGAATGGAAGTATCTCCCATTCTCATTTGATGAATTTCTGGTGGAGATCAAAATGATCAGATTATAGAAGCACAAATAACATATTGAAGGGGTAAACGGCCATAATATGGTGGGAAGAACAAACCATAAAGAATCAGAGATGCCTCTTTGGTGGGAAGAATAAAGCATAAAGCACAAAGAATTCAGTGGCAAGTCCAATTCTAATGGCACTGGGTATGCTACCTCTATTAGCTATAAGAAATATCGGTGGTATTACAAATAAGGGTCTGTTTGGATTATAGTCAACTTTATCACGGGTAGACTCTTTTTTTAATGTTATAATAATTTGCATAATATTTATGTTTGCTATTGGTTAGGTACCTTACATTCAGTATAATATAATATGGTAAGTTGTTTGGAACCCTGACCTTAAGCTCTGCATGTTGAAAGTGGTTATGGGCCTAACATTAAGAGCTCCATTCTCTTCTATTCAAAACTGTATTCTCTCTAGTTCTTCCCCTTCTAACTCTAAAACTATTGATGTTCGTCATTATTATTACTAATTATTGTTTGGGTTGGGAATTGGGATTCAAACCCTTTTTGGAGCATAATTTCTTGGAGTTGTTAATGCAGAACATAAACCGAGGATGGACACCTGGGGTAGAGTTTTCATTTGGGTGATAATATTTCTTTTTCATATGATTGTTGGGTCTTGCAAAAAGAGGTTGATTTGGTGAAGTGTATTAAAGTAGATGGTGAGACAATTAAAACAATGGAAGGATGGTAAAAGTATGGTGAGGCACTCAATATAAAGAGTTGAATTGCCAGGATACCTCTTATGTAGTTTCACTACCCTAACGATTGAACCAAGAGCCTAGCACCCTAGGTCAATCTTGTTATTGTTGAAAACCAAGCTGAAGCAGATAGATATCTGATCAAGAAGTTATGAAGCTATAACCTGGATGAATGATTCTGTTGCGGGCCTAGACAGTTTTCAAGTTGTTTTTTTTTGGTTGGGTGTGTGTATGGGTTCCTTTTTCTTATTTATTTATTTATTTATTTTTTGAGGGGGGGTGAGGGTGCCTTTAAATTTCGGACATTTTACTTAAAGCGGATACTACAAGGTAGTGATTTAGGAGGTACAGTTGAGATAAAATTCAAGAGTTAAATGGTCAAATGAGATCAAAACAAAACATTTTCACAAGATTGCTACAGTATCTAGGGACAACTAGAAACAAACAAATTTGTTCAGGGTAATAAGTACAAGGCTGAGGTAAAATTCAAGAATTAAATGGTCAAATGAGATCAAAACAAAACTTTTTCACAAGATTGCTACAGTATCTAGGGACAACTAGAAACAAACAAATTTGCTCAGGGTAATAAATACAAGGCTGAGGGGGAAATTCCCATGTTTTAAGCTTGTAACTGTCCCTTTTGGAATTAGGAGTTGGAAATGTTGTTTTCCACTTGGATTGTAGCTGTTAACAAGGACAAATGTTATGATGCAAACTACAATTGATTTTTAACAAATGAGCACCTTCACTCACAGAAACTCTAATAGATGACAGGACTTTAAGGGGAAAAGAAGAGTAGAGAAGCAAGGGAAAATCACAAAAAGCAAAGAGGAATGTATCTCCCAAATTTGATTAACTAAAAAATAGTTTCAAAATTTTATTTTTTTATCTACTCAAAAACCCTAATAGCTCCTACAAAATCCTAGCCATCCATTATTAATTTAAAACCCAATGATTTACCTTGCCCCTAATAAAATCAGAAATAAGGATTAAAATAGAAAATAAAACCCAAAATAACTTCCCCTAATTACAATATTGCCCCCTCATAGTCTATGACCTTTCTTTGCCCAGCTACAAACTATTGGTTGTGTCTGGGGTGTGGCCGTGTGGCTTTGTCATTTGTCCCCTAGTTGAAAGGAGCTCGACACCAGCAAGTTGTCTTCATCTTTGAGGTGATATAAATTTGGAGCCAACCGTTTGAACTTTAGCTTGGAAATCCATGTGTTATTGGAAGATGGCCTCCCCTTCCACTTGACTAGATATTGGTGATTTGAACCCTTATGAGTTTGAAAGCTTTCACTCTTTAAAACATGCTGAATTTCTTCGCCCTTCTTTCTTGGTAATTGCTTCTTCATATCAACTACTTCTTGGGCTTCTAGAGGGTCTCCATGAAATTCAAATAAATCAACAAAATTAAATATCAGGGAGATTTCCAACGCCTTTGGTAATTACACCTCATGCATTATTCCCATATTTCTTCAAAATTTGGTAGGGGCCCACCTTCTTGGATTTGAGCTTATTGTAGGTCCTCAATGGAATCTCTCCTTTTTTAAATTACACCATTAGTAAGTCACCCTCTTCGAAAATCTTCTCCTTTCGATGCTCATTTGAAACTCCTCGATACTTTGCATTACTTTGTTTAATTTTCTTCTTGTATTGAGCTTGCAAGTCTCGGACATGCTTAGCTAAAGCATTGACATCATTACTTGCCTTGCATTGGTAATGGCACTAGGCGAAGCACATGATTAGGGGTCCTCCATTGACAATCTAAAAAATGGTGATTTTCCTGTCGACTGATTCATCAAACTGTTGTAAGCAAATTCAGCCTTGGGTAAAGTGAGGTCCCATTGAGATGTGTTATCACAAACAATACTCCTCAAGAGGTTACCAAGGCTCTTATTCACCACTTCAGTTTGCCCATCTGCTTGAGGGTGATAAGCTCTAGAAAATTATAGCTTGGTTCCCAGGCGCTTCCTCAAAGTGTGTCAAAAATGACTTTAAGAACTTTGTATTGCGATCGGATGTAATGACTTGGTGACACCATGTAGCCTCACGATGTCTTTGAAGAAGATATTGGCAATGTGTGATCCATAGTTTTCCTACGAGCAATAAAATACTCCATTTTGGAAAATTGATCAACAATAACCAAAATAGAGTCCACACCTTATTTGGTATGCAGAAGTTCCAAGTACAAAGTCCATATAGATATCGTGTGGGGCATCTGAAATAAGGAGGGGAGTATAAAGATCCTTATTTAGTGTGTGACGTTTAGATACTTGCAAATTCGACATCGGGCCACAAATCTGTCAACATCTCTTTGTATGTGTGGCCAAAAATATTTCTCTAGTCCCTTTCAAAGTGTGCACCTAAGCCTCCACCATGAAGTTCCATAATTATCTTTTCCCTTAGGGAACACTCAGGTATGCATAAAATGCACCTTGAAATAAATAGCCATCATAAACATTAGATACTCTCCCATTAACACATTTTCTAGGGCCTTTGCTAAAATTGGGTCATTGTTATATTAGGCTTTTACATTTCAAAACCTATTACTTCCATAGACAAAGTTCCAAGCGAAACCATCCTTCTACTTAAAGCATCAGCTACGTTATTTTGGGTCTCGTTCTTGTGCATTAATGGGAAGGTATATTCTTGAAGGGTGGTCATCCACTTAGCATGATGTGCATTTAACTTCTTATGGAAATCCAAGTACCGAAGTGCTTCATGATCAAGTTATAGAATAAACTCCCTATGGATCAAGTAGTGCCTCCAATAATGCAAAGCTTGCATAAAACGCGAGGTCATAGATTGAATACTTCTGACTTGCTTCATGCTACCTTTCATTAAAGAAAGCCACTGGTTGCCCTTCTTGACTAAGTATTGCTCATATGCCAACATTTGATGCATCAGTTTCAAATTAAATACCTTAGAAAAATCTAGCAATGCGAGTACCGATGCTTGCATCATCTTTTGTTTAATTTGAGTGATGCTTTTCTCAACAATGGGATTTGATGAAAACTTTCATGCCTTCATACAATTGGTCACTGGTGCTATTAGAGTGCTTCAATTTCTAATAAAGCGAGATAAAAGGTCGCTAGGCCATGAAAAGAACTCACCTCCATGGGTCACTTTGATATTGGCCTTCACCTTTTCGTGGTTCCACCTTGATTCCCTCAGGCGAAACAACAAACCCTAGAAAGATAAAGTTGTTTGGAGGTGAGTCACTTTGATATTGGCCTTCACCTTTTCTTGGTTCCACCTTGATTCCCTCAGGTGAAACAACAAACCCTAGAAAGATAAAGCTGTACGTCATAAATGG